GAGAAACAAATTGGGTGGTTATTGATGGGAATTGGCAAATAATAAAGAAGATTGATTCGATAACGTTGGATTTATTTGAAGTACAGGACAACAGCTGACATTAGAGTTAAGAAATATGACAAAATAAGAATGACTATCACCGCATAAAGAGCAGCGTTTACATAGTTTAGTTTATGCCAGTGCTAACAATTATCCTATTCCGAAAAATATCTAGGCTGCAATTGGTGCTTTTTTTCTTTTTGGAAGGTATAGACCTAGCAACCCTTGACGTCTTTTTGCCAAAAGCTAGGCACCTTTTGAAGGCATTACAACGCCACCATTAAAATAGTAACTGAATCCGAAACGCTGGTCATTATTCTTCTCATTACCACCAAGGATTTGTACTAATGAAGCTGCCATTCTAAAATGATTTAGGCTAGCCATACATGAACGTAACTTAAAGGAACGCAATCCTTTACTACTAAGTCAAAAAGGAGAAAATGTGCTTTCAAAATATGTATGTATAAACTAGCTTTACACCTTAGTGGATTCAGAATTTGCTCGATCCCCATTGGTCATAGACTTGTCTATAGTCTTCCTCGATAAATTGTTAATTATTTAACTCGCCGAGATTTTGTTCTTCGAGCGAAAATTTTTGCGTCTTTTCGACAAATAAATAAACAATTTAGTCACATCCCCGGAGATGTAGGTAAAGGTGAACATTATTATTATATATTACAATATTTCCGAGATTCATAAAGTGAGCCAATTTAGCTTTTATTATGTTATTATTACTATTTAGTTTTCTTTTGAACGTCCCCAATGTTCCTAGACAAATCGAATAAAATATATCTCAACTAACTACCGCAGGTAGCATCGCCCGCGAAGTATTTTAATCAAAAGCCTATGCGTTAATATAAGGTATCACCCATCTACATACCTTTCAACCAAATCGGTCCAGCAGTTTTTGCGTCAAAGAATAATAAGTATATATATTCTTTCAAACTATTTTTTTTTTATTTTATGCTATAGCTCGGCAAACGAGCAGACGGATTACCTGATGGTAAGCAATCAGCGCCGCCTATGGACACCCGCAACGGAGGATTTACGAGTGTGTTGCCGACCTTTTAGGGATTAGGGATTTGGAGATTTAGGGATTGAGGAGGGATTGGGGGAGGGGAGGTTTTGCCTTTGGTAAACTCACTCACACGGCGAAACGCAACGCTGTGGTTACTTCACGCCGGTTTTCTGTGAGGCCGTGGTATCACTCCGGTCGAGCCGACCCATTCGTGCCGAAGCATGGCTCTCCCACACTGACACATTTATTATATTAGTAGGAAATTATGAATGTTTGTAGCCAGCCTTATTTTGCATCCGACATTTGTTTGCGCAGTTATTTTGTGCACCGGACTTAAGGATGTGTTTTGATTTCAACATCCAAAATTATAATTGCTGTACAATAATACGTATAGAATATTAAATATCAACGTGTTTATTTCATTTCTTAATGAAGAGAATTATATAAACAATGCTTTATTAACGAACTGGCAAACAAAGCGCAATGCATAATGGGACCTTGTGGCTCCTCTTAAATTTGTAGAATTCAAATGTCAAAATGTTTACTCTTAGAAATTTCGCAGGAAATGGGAACATATTATTATTGGTATATTAGTCCTCCGTTCTTTATGTTAAATTTGTAATAAAAAAATAAGGAGTAATTAAAAAGTGGTGTTTATTGAATGTAACGACTGACTCAAAGCTCCACTAGTTTTTCAACTTAGAGTCCCGTTACGACTTGAGACTTGTAAGCCGGGGTTGCGGGTTAACCACAAAGAGGCACCGCGACCTCGACCTAGAGCAGGAGAAGGAACCAGGGGGGTTTTTATTCAGTAAGATTCCGACACTTGCTCTCTTCTCAATCTGGGCGGGAGAAGTCATTTGATGATTTTCCCCAAAAAAAAGTATTGCAGTTTTTTTCAGTTCACTCACACAAGTCAACATTTTCAAGTGGTTATTAAAAACGTATAAGTATTTTTTTATTATTATTATGTTTGTAATTATCGTTTTTATTCGCAATGACTTTGAGTGTTTCAAAATCGTATTACCAAAACAGTTCTGAATTGATCCAAATCAATTCAAATCGTCCTCAATTGACGAAAAGGATTAACGAAATTAAATCTAATTAATTTTAGAATCATTATTGAGAAACCAAATTTAGAAAATAGGTCAATAGAAGTTATTTTTAATCGATCTACTGACAGTGATTCTAGCTATAAATAGTAAAAAACCAAAATCGTATCAATTCGAGTTTATAATGGTACGTGGAAGAAACATGGGTTTATTTTATCATACGACAGATGGATTTGTTTGTTTGTTTTGAACATACCTCGAAAATATTTAGTAACTTATTGATTTATTTGACATTTAATGCACAATGGGGTATATAGGCGGACTAAATGCCTTAGGCAAACAATGAACTGAAGATAAAAAAAATCATCTTAATATCCACGATTTATTAAACCCCAAGCGAACGCCGGCTATTGTTCTTCTATTGTGTCTCGAATTATGATTAAAGGATTAATAATCAGATTATAAAAAGTTTATTTAGTTACCTACTTTCTGCACGGATTTTCTTGCACAATTTTCCTGAGACAAATCTTCTAAATTTCACAAGAGCAAAGCTGTAGACAAAACGCTAGTGTAAAATAAACAAAAGTCGATCTTATCCGAAAATGATTAGGATTTAAATTAAATTTGACTTTAAGGATTGATCAAAAGTTGCGAAGAATGGTTCTGCGCAGTTCCAAGAATTGATTGAGGAAAGATATTTTGTTCACGTGGAAGCGATTTGGTTTAAATTATAGTAATACTGGCCTTAATCCTTTAAGGCTAAAAGGTTACAAATTGTTAAATTTGTAGCTTGGCTAATACGTACTTAGTCAAATCTTCAAAGGTAAAATTTGTATGTAGGGCGTAATCCTTGGAACCGCTGGTCGGATTGCCAAAATTCTTTCACTGATAGTTAGCTACAATGTTCCTGAGTGCTATAGGCTATGAAACGGCGTAAGAGTAGCTAGTCTTTACCGAAATGAATTTTGGTCAATGGTACGAAACTGTTTGAACAACAAATAATTTATGAATGAATATTTTAATATTACGGGTTAATGTGTAATTTCTATTCGTTCAGACATTTCTTTTACATACACAAGCCATCCAGACCCGAACAGTAGTTTGTGGATTACACAAATTGGGACGGCACGCCACTGCGCCAACCGTGCAGTATAAAATTCTAATTTTATTTGTCTATCTGCAAGCTGTGTGGGTACTATAGGTATAGACACTTTAAAAATAATTACTTAAATATTTTCAATTATAGGTATTTATATGTATTCTATCAACTGGCTTTAAGCTTAAAAACCGTGTTTATTGTCAAGATAGTGACGAATCCTCATATGTATATTGAGGTTTTGTGACTGTAATTAAATTGTTTTTGTACTTTCCTAGGTCCTGTACTAAGTAATTATATTATACGAATTCAGTTCCATTATTCGGTTGGTAAATCTCACTCAGCAGTGTTGTAATTAGCCCTTTGGGGACAATATGGTGAAACACGTGTTTGTTATATTTTTGTACGAGCCAAACGTGGTCTTCTAGAATATTCCCAATTGATCCAACTTTTTGCGACTTACTTTTGTAGACATTGGATTCCCTCCCTTCTTTACAACTCTGCTTAACTTCTCCTTGCTCTTACTATCTCCTACTACTTTACTATTGCTTTCTTACAAAAAAGTTTCATGTTCGTGACCAACCTTTTTCAGAGAGGCGTATTTTTTCATTAAAAATGTTTACCTAACTCTTTCGTGGTTTTAACGAACTCATGATGTGGCTTATTTTAAAGTGCACAAGACAATAGTGATCCTGTATATTTGATGTATAACAAAATATATTGATAAACCATGTCATGTATTCAAGGTCATTTGGCTTCTACCCTCAGGGCTCACATTTGCATTTTGTTAAGACGCACACAATAAATCTACTCCATTTAGCAATCGACTATGTTTTGTTTCATAGATCACAGTATATATGTGTATCTATTACAAAATTCATATGTATATCTATTTAATGTCGTAGTCTAAATTTGAAAGCTAATACGAATTTTATTTTGTACACAATTTGCATTTGGCCCTAAGGTCGCCTGGTGGTAACCTATGATAGAAGACACAATGATCACGATAATATATATCCGGAAACGACATCCATACGATTCAGAGAGCTGGATTTGATCTCAATATACAATCAATAGTATAACAATAAGTTACACGTGGTCCTTGATCAACTATCAAAACTTTCGTTATCAATCTTGATTTCATGGCAACTCCCAAAGGTCTTCATAAGAGAATTCCGGGCACTTAAATAAATAAAGAGAAATAGCCACTTGAATTAATAGTAATAAATAAAAATTGATTGATTGATTGAGTGGGAGAAGTCATTTGACAACTTCCTCTGACAAAAAAAAAAATAGGGTTGCTTAACTTCGATACCATCTTTAAAAAAACCGGTTAAAACGTGGGTGTTGTTCTGCTGGACGCTGGATATAACGTTACCTTAAACTAAGATTTTTTTCTCGAGGACTCTCTTTTTTTTGTCGAGGGTTTATCTGTGTGTGTAGCAAACATACACATCACACCCAAATCTCTGAGAACCCACCAAAGGCTGGCAAAGCACATGTTACCCCATTTGTTCTGTGGGTGACGCTGATTTATCGAAACGTGACAACAATATTTCCTGAAACCAATCAACCGCTACCATCACTTTCAAATCGAATTTAACTAGTTTACATAAACTTACAAACTCGTGAGGAGAGACTTCATCCAAATTATTGGCCCAATGAGATTTCGAAAACGTGTTTGTTATTCCTTGGGGGGGTTTTCGGCATCCGAGCGTACGACGTGTTGTGTTCCGCGTCTTTAGAGGCAATAGACCACCATAGATTGGGCCGATGTGCGAGCCCAAGCGTAATAATGTACGAGAGACGATCTTCGACCACCGTAAGCGTGGGTCTGCGGACGACGAGTAAGGGTAGCTCGCCGCCCGAGCGTATGGCGCGTAGCGTTCCACGCGCGCCTCGTAGAGCCAATAGACCACCACAGACGGGGCCCAACAGGGCTGATTTTCAGCCAGGGTTGCAGTTCAGGCGGAATGTGGCACCGCGGCCTCGGCCTAAAGCAGGAAGAAAGGACGGGGGTTTTTAGTAATCTCGCCTTACTCTGGGCGTCTCCCGCCCAGTCAATTGATGATTTTCCCCTGACAAAAAATGCTTAATAATGTGCTGCGGTCTCGGCCCGGAGCAGGAGAAGGGACGGGGTAATTTTTAGTCCGACACAGACACGGTCACATTTACTTGTCTCTTGGCATTGATGACGTCATTGTGGTAGTCATTTGTCATTTTGTAGAATTGTAGAACTAATGTAGATAATAAGTCTTCGTGTCATCAAACTTAATTAAATACCTACTTACGTTCTTTATTCAAATGTTTATTTCTTTGTATGGTAATTTAAACCACAAAATCCCTTACCTATATATGGCGTACGAGGGGCCGAAGCCAACTCGCAGAGGCCCATTGAACAATGTTACAATTAAACATTATTATTATTATTTTTTCAGGTTGGTTAAAGGAAATTATCTCTGTTACTTATTACTTATTTACTGTTACTAAATGAACAAAACTGCATTGAAATTTCAACTTTACTCTCTCATTTATATAGTACAATTTGAAATAATTCTCCAGTTTATTTTACAAAATTATAATTTATATACTTACTTATAACTACAGAGACCCATCTTGCGAAAAGCTTCAATATTTAATACGTTGTACTAATTGGAAGGAACCCTTCGTATAAATTATAAACGACATGTAGACTATACAAACCCTTTTGAAATAAACCTGATTTTGTAATGTTAGTTAAATAATGCTTGTTAGTGTAACTGCTGATCTAGAAGTCTTGTTTCCGATTTACTGAATCAGGTTAAGTTTTTTTTTTGTTCTGTGATTGCCAACATGTTTTCCCAACCTTCGGCACGAAGGGATCGGGTCAACCGAAGTGATACTACAGGTTCACAGAAAGCCGGCTTGAAACAACCACAGCGCTGTGTTTCGCCGTGTGGTGGTGGTAACCTCACTCACAGTGAGTTTACCGGAGGCCCAATCCCTTCCCCTCTCCTCATTTCTTCGCAATCCTTTTTTTTGTGAGGATCAAATCATCAAATGAGTTCTCCCAGCTGAACATCAGGCCTATAGGACCCCGTCTGTGGTTGTCTATTGTCTCTTTGAGGCGCGCGCGGAACGCTACGCGCCGTACGCTCGGGTGCAATCCTTAAGTATTCGAAACCGTCATTCCTGAAAGGTAGGCAATGCACTCGTAACTCCTTTCGTGTTGCGGGCGTCCATGGACGTTAGTATCAGGGAATGCGTCAGCTTGTTTTCCGTCCTGTGCCGTAAAATAGAAAAATTTGAAGCCTTATATTAATCGGACACCATTGTGTGACATGGCGTTCAATAAATATAAGAATAGTCTAGAAGTGTGTTCTAGACTATTACATTATTATTAGTTACGGAATAAGCAAATCCTGATTACGTAACAAAAACTGTTTATATCGTGTGGCAGGACAAAACAAAACAGTCTACAGTCAGATAAAAGACAGATTCTCCCTCTCGCCCCGCTTAGAAAGAGAGAGAGAGAGAGAGAGAGAGAGGGAGAAAGAGAGAGAGAGAGAGGGGGGGGGAGAGAGAGAGAGAGAGAGAGAGAGGGAGAGAGGATAGAGAGAGAGATAGAGAGAGAGAGAGAGAGAGAGAGAGAGAGAGAGAGAGAGAGAGAGAGAGAGAGAGAGAGAGAGAGAGAGAGAGAGAGAGAGAGAGAGAGAGAGAGAGAGGAGAGAGAGAGAGAGAGAGAGAGAGAGAGAGAGAGAGGGGAGAGGGAGAGAGAGAGAGAGGGAGAGAGAGAGAGAGAGAGAGAGAGAGAGAGAGAGAGAGAGAGAGAGAGAGAGAGAGAGAGAGAGCTTTTAATGATTTTTCAGGTCAAAAAAAGCCAATTACATGAAAATGCTATTCAGTTAGCGGCTCGACCTAGCATGTTTAATAAGCGAAATCTTAGTAGGGTCATTAGTAGTACTTACCCTTCAGGTAGTTTATTTCTAATTGTGTCTAGGATTTTAGTGCTGGTCTTCCATTCTAGCCTAACCTACAATTCTTGCAACAATTGTCAGTTGACATTATACTATTTGGAAGCGACGTCTTCATTTTCAGAAAGTTCAAAATATTGTAACGCCCTGGTATTCTCCTTTGCCAGATAAAGAAAAAAAAAGATATTAAATAGATCCCAAAATTGCCTTAACATCTAAAAATATTCAAAAGCTTGGTTTCGAAAACTAATTGGAAGTCTATCTACATCAAATTGGAGTCCTAAAATTAGTATTTTTAGAAAGCTAATTTTAGATCTCTCTGAAGCATTTGTAAATCGAAATAGCTTTTAGAATTATACCAAAAGCCCGATTATGTAGAAATCTATGGAAAAGTTATTCAATGAAAGTTTTTTATACTCTTCTTTGCTGAAGGTAAACGTACTTAATTATATAATGTTCTAAATATCAGCCTCAGATTAGGTCGTCTAGTAAGGGTAGCTCACCGCCCAACTAGAGCCAGACCCGAGGGTACGTTACATTGCGTTCCGCTCGCGCCTCAAAGAGCCAATAGACTACCAGGGCCCGCCAGGATTGCGAGTCGAGCGCAATATTCCATTGTTGGACAGTATTTCAGAGTGCATTGTAATTGAAAAATCAAAACCTGATATTATTATTTTCTCCATTTCAAGAACTGATCCTGAGAATCTTTATTTGACTGTCCCGCTAGCGATCATTTGCCATTGAACCTTTTAAGTCATCCTCAGTATTAGCCATTGATGTAGTACCTCATTTCCGCTCAAGATGAAATTATCAGCATCAAAATGACCAGCTGGAACTCCCCCCTAGTTAGTAACGTCGAACGACAAGTCGGCAACTGCATTTATTAGACCCTCGCTACTCTGACGATGACGTTGGTCCATCTAGTAGGAGGTTACGCTACGTCATACCTACAGTGGTCGCCAATCAAGGCGAATCGATGATTTCAATCTTATTATTAGATAACAAATATAAGTCAAGGTTTTCTTCTAGGAAATTTCCTTTACCGTATGCAACTGATGTCCAAATAATCTTAAATAGTACTTGACTGGTTTCAGTTTAAATAGAATTAAGATTATTTTGAAACATTACGTTACACTAATTTTACAAGGGTAGCTAGAGATACACATAGACCTCATATTATAATATGTTTGCCCGTATAAGCAAACATACCCTTTCTAACTGAGGTTCAAAATGAACAAATATGTAATATGTTCCTACTCACACATTCCGTCTCATTTCCTTACCTAAGGGATAACCGTTTTAAATCCCTGAAACACGGAGTTTTCTCCAAGTACTATGTAAATTTTGAAATTAAAAAAAATATTTATTTATTTTGTTTACCCTCCCTTGTTGGTCGAATGGTTGAAGCAGGATTCTTGGGTCCGATACTGGGGTCGTGCAAACCGTAACTGTGATTTTTGTAAAATTATAACCAAGCAGTCCTGAGTTGTTGTCCTATCCAGTGTGTGGGTAAACCGGTATACCCATAGATAATATTTAGTCGAGATTGGTCTCAAACCAAAGATCGCGTATTTGAAAATTGTATTCATATTAAAGAAATCAGTCCTTTGGACTAAATAGTAGATATGAGTAAACATTAAAAAATATGTCACACCTCAACACCGTCAAAAAAATTTTAGTCTGTACAGAAAGGTACCGACGGACTTTAAAACCACGACATATAGTCTGTTAAAGAATCCCTCGTAAACTGGCAAATTCCTATTTCAAAATCGACATTTAAGCCCATTTTTGAGTTTTCTATTTTCGCAAAAACAAACAACGCAGTAAGGGATGCATGAGACAACGCATTCCGACTACATTTCCAAGCAAGCCTTAGACTGGAATCTCAGGGGAAAACCGTAGCTGTACTCAGCAAACCTGAGGTAGAATTTTGCTTACGAAGGCGGTAAGTATCGGCCCAAAAGCGGGCATTTCAAGACGATCAAGATCACCATCGGAGAACTTCTGTGGACGCCCTCTGCCCCGGTTAAGGCTTTGAGTATTCTCCCATTACACAAACACTTAAATGCCATTTGGCTCAGAAATAGGGAGGTGTAAATACATCCTTAGTTTTCGGAACAGTCTCAACGGGATACTTGCAAATACAGGTCTCAAATCTAGGCGCCTAGAGACATCCACTATTGACAATAGACTACTCAAATAGTAGTTCCTTGTAACAATATTTGCTTTGGGACAATTGTTAATGGTTCGTCTATTAACATACTATTATGCTGTATTTCCTCAAGGGTTCAGCTCTGGTAATAGGCAAGATATTATTGTAGAATATTAATGTAAGTTTCAAAATATTTTCTCAGTTTATGAGGGATTCTTTAACAGACTATAATATGTCGTGGTTTGAAACTCCGTCGGTACTTTTTTGTGCCGATTACAATTTTTTGGACGGTGTTGAGGTGTGCTCCGTTTTTCAGAATTTCATAATGTAATTTTCTGTTGCCAAACTAATACTGGTGCCAAAACTATATTTATTCATTTATATAATGTGCCTCTGCTTTTGAATAAATTATAATTATAAGGAAAATAAAACAATCTTATTCAGAATTAGTATTATTATTTATTAAAACATTCAATTAAGATCTCTAGACCGTCAGTTCACAGCTAAAACACTAAGACAAATACAATATTTCAATAATATAATTAAATCTCATTTCATTTTAATTCAATTAATCGTAATAATATAATAATTGTTACATTAATCATATTTTAATACTGTAATAATTATAATGTCGTTTTTGTGATTATATTATTATTTTGATTTTATTTTTAATTTATTTATGTTAAAATGGTATACACTTTCCTTTTTAGCTAATGCATGAAGACAATGATATTATAAGTAATATGGTAGGTATAGATAGGTTACATAAACAACATTCGATTTACAAAAACGGCACACTTAAAGCGTATGACACACGTTAAAGTGGGATGTTCATGATTCAATAATCCCGAGTGAAAAAGAGACAAATATGAAAAAGTGTGGCTAGTTCGCCACATTTTAATGTATCACTTGCTGAGCGCTTGTAACCTATCTACGCCTTTTTACTTTAATATCATTGCATGAAGATAAAATAGAAAATATAACCTAAATAATGCCGAATAACATTAAATGCTTCTTATGACCATAATTAAATAATTCAGATAATCCATTGCAAAGGTTTACCACTGAAAATTATATATTATTTATTATGTTTTCGGCTTACTCACGTAATAATTTGACGAGATACTCGACTAGTTTCAAGCCATGCTAGAAAATCATATACTTAATACTCTGGGTATGTCAGAATAAGAAATAAATGCTATGCCTTCACATATATTTTTATTTCGTAAAAAGATCTTCTATATAATATAATTTTATATCATATAATAATAAATAATATTATGAAATTGTAGAGTTTGTTTGTTTGTTTGAACGTGCTTATCTCCGGAACAAGTGGTTATAATTGAACAATTCTTTTTTGTTTGCTATTCCATTTATCGAGCAATGCTATAGGCTATAAAACATCACGCTGCGACCTGTAGGAGCTAAGCAGCGGGTGAAACCACGCGTTAGTAGCTAGTATGATATAAGAATGACACAGAAAACAAAAATAAAGTTGGATTAGAATTAAAAAAAAACAAGATAATCGATGATCGAGGAAATAAGGTAATTATGACAGTTATTATAATGTTTGTGCTATTACAACTTACGTATTACAATTTTTTCTATGTTACTTGACCAATATGGCGCTCTAGTTGTTTATACTTATTTCGTAATATCAGCACAATAGTGCAAAAAAACAATTTTACTATAATTATTTTACCAATACACATTAAATTAAAATTATTATCTACACAATTCAATGTACTTATAGTTAAATTAAAACAATTTTAAAGTGACTTACTTATTACAAAACTGATGATAACATAAATATTTTAACACAGATGAAACTAATAGAAATTTTAAATAAAGAAGACAATAGATTTGATATTTTTTCTTGTTAGAAAAAAAAAGATTCAAGAAATAAGTTCGCATTTCCAGTAACGGTACTTATTGTAATAATAACTCAAAGACGGTGCCTGTAGTAATACCAATTGTAAAAAAAAATGTGGTAATACACTATTTTATTTCATTCCCATCGTTATCATCAGCGTGTTTCCGTCCACTGGTGGACATTGGCTTCACTAATAATACGCCACTAAGTCACTCGTTTTTTGAATACCTAGTAACTATCATGAGACATAAATTTACTGAAAATGAATACTTTATCAGGTAAATAAACTAAGAAATGCTCTACTAGTTTCAATCACAACGGGACACTTATTCATAAGCAGAGTGCCCGTCGCGGCGACGTCGCGAATCGCGCGCAACACGTCGATTCTATTAAATTTGGTTGATTTTGAATCGTGTTCGAGTGCGAAGTGAGTGTCGTGGGTATGTGACGTGTGGAAAGTGACGGGGTAATAAATTTTAGAATGCCACTTTTTACGTCATTTCATACTTTATCTATCAACATGTTGCTGTCAATTTAGTTCAACTCGCAAGTGTAGCGCTAGTGTACTACTACTCACAGCGGATTCAGAGAAGTTTAGAATGAAGTCTTACAGAATCACACCCCAGTTGGCTGCAATTTTTGTGTTTGGAGCTCTCCTGTAAGCAAGTACCTAATGCAGGTGTTGTGGATCCCCGCTCTTCCATACCTAAGCAATACAAAAGCTAGGATTTCCTTAACTTATTAATGTGTGTGTGTGTGTGTGTGTGTGTGTTTGTATGAGTGTGTGTTTGTGTGTGTGTGTGTGTGTGTGTGTGTGTGTGTGTGTGCGCGTGTGTGAGTGTGTATGTGTGTGTGTGTGTGTGTGTGACTGGTGTGACTGTGTGTGTGCATATTATTCACGGGAATCCACGGGAGGAGTCCGTATTTAAAAAAAGAAGTAAGCTCGATATTAAGCTGTTCTTAACCAACCACTCTAGCCATACAAACGACGAAACCTAATCTACGTTTACCTAGACGTAGTTCTCACTCCATAACACATCCACCGCAACAGTCATCGCTTCTTCGAAAATATGACTTGCGCATTGCCACTTCAGTTTGCTAATCCTTTGGTCTATGTCGACAATTTTAGTTCTCTGTCGGATCACATCATTTTGTTTTCAAAATTGGAAAATAACTTGTAATTGATACTTGGTTGATACACATGTTCGTATAGACAATAATATTATTTTAGTGATAGGGTTACGTTAAGGGATGTCAATGTAGGGCTTGTGAAAACTTTTTTTCGAATTTATTTTGTTACATTTTAAGTCAAAATATTTCGCCAATATTAAACATGCGCATTACACAAGCATAAATCTTATCTGATATAATTTATTCGATGACATAAGACCCGTCCGAGTGAACAAAATTAATGAATGTTTTAAACGCGGTAAATTTCCTGTATCCTCCGTGCTTCTGAGTACTTTGTACTTAATCATTTGTATATATT